ATTATTATATGGAAAACTGTAAGCTCATTTTAAGTCCAAGGGCAAGGACTATGATCAATAAATGGATAAATAATACAAATTTATAAAATAAAATTGTAGAAAATTATATTCTTATGAAAAATAAAAATTTGCATATTTCATACAAAATATGTTATAAATAGGATAATATCAAATTAAATATACATTTTAATTTCATCTATAAATTGATAAAATAATGATATGTAACATTTTTGAAACATTTATGACAAAATGTCTTTTTCGATATTGATATAAAAAGCTATGTTAAGAATAATAATAATCTATATATTTATATATTATTATCTCCTAAATAAATTTATAAAAAAATGTAATATTTTTGAAAAATGTATGACAAAATGTCTTTTTCGGTATAGAAAGCTATGTTAAGAATAATAATAATCTATATATTTATATATTATTATCTCCTACGTTTTATAAATATTCGTGTTTCACCAATAAATAATTATATTTTAAGAAACGATAAATAATCTCTTCCTTTCCAAGATTAGATATAGGAAAAGGGAAAAAATAAACTTTGAATTGGCGGAGGATGAACTAAGAAAATAATTATAGAGTCTAGAATTAAACAAACTTTGTACGTTACTGATAATATTACACGTGCAAAATTATTCTCACACGTATCCCATTCAATTTCAATTTAATAAATAATCTTCTGAATATTTGGATTGTAACATTTATATTATATACATTTAAATGTAATAAATGAACTTTTAAATAATTTAATTGCAATATTTATATTTATTACACCTACATGTAACAAAGTAATTTTAAAATATTTTTAACTGTAACATTAGCATTAATTACATTTAAGTGTAATAAAGCAATTTCAAAATACTTTTAAGCTCAATATTCACACTAATTACATTTAGATATAATAAATAATTTTTGGAATATTTTGAATGGCAATATTTACATTAATCATATTTAAATGCAACAAAGTATTTTCAAAATATTTTTAATTGCAATATTTACACTAATTCATTATAATAATTACACTAATTTAAATATAATACATAAACTTCTAAATATTTTAATTACAACAGTGCTGTTAGTTACATTTAAATGTGATAATATTTTAATATTATATATATATAAAGTATA